CTTTTCTTTTCCCTTCCCAAGTCACAGTAGTGTCTAAGTGGTTTTTTGTCTTCCAGATCTGGTTTCCGTGATTCACCTGTATGTCCTTCTGCCCTCAGTTCTGTGATGGCTCTTGTCTGTTATCAGTTATGTTTCCCTGTGTATTATTCCCAGTGGGGATGAGCAATCTTGATGTCTGACAGGCTAAATGGTTAATGCACTCTGAAGGACACAGTATATTCATGTAAGTAAGTCCCAAAAAGCTCCAGAACCAGCACAGACTAATTCCTGCTAGGACTGAGCCAGAATTTTGACCGATCCGATAACTTTTGGACATTATAACATAAACATAGACATGGTGTTGAAAAGCAGGCCAACACTCATCATTGTGTCACTTTGGTTTTCAGATATTTAATGCATTAAAATGTTGAGGAGAATGATTAAATTGAATTTGTTAGCAATTCTCACGCAGAGTTGTTTGGGAAAAGACAGACTGAATTTGCTAAGATTTGTTTCAGTTTTCTGTGCTTGACATAATTTGCTCAGTGGACCACTGGGCACATGAGAGTCACATTCAGATGCCTGGAGCCTAAGCTAATGGCCAGTGAAGTTGTCTGTTGCTCTCAGCGAATGCTGGATCAGAGCCCAAGTGAAAGAAATAATATTCTCTCAAGTGAAGAGAATGTTATTGCCGTGATCTGCAACCTTCAAAATTCTTTATTTTTCAGTTATAAGTAAATGAACTTGAATGTTTTTGACCTGGAACTGGTACTGTATTATTGTCTTCTGTTCTTACTTCTCCTTGGGCTACGCTTTGTGGCTGAAAAGCTTCTCCCATGATACCCCACTTCTCTCCAGAACAGACGATTCCTACTCACTTTCCCTTTTTATTGTGGTAAAGGTATTCTGTTGAAAGGGAAAACCTACATTTAAGATGTGGAAATATGGAAGAGAGCGTGAGGTGGTCTTCAGTCCAGAAAGTTTTATTTCACTAATTAGAAATATCTGTAATATAATATCTGGGCAGAACTTTGATTATGCACAACTATGTAGTTAATCAGAGTTCGTTATTTATCTGAAGTAATAGGTAGCTTTTGGCACATCACCATTTTCTTTCACTTGGGCTCTGATCCAGCATTCGCTGAGAGCAACAGACAACTTCACTGGCCATTAGCTTAGGCTCCAGGCATCTGAATGTGACTCTCATTCAGTCTCATGCCTTCAGGACAAGAGTAGGTGGTTGAACAAAGTCAGTGGGCATCTGGATTTCCTTGTGCACAGCACAAAGACACCGGCTGTTTCTGCCTGGAATGGCCACGTGTTTGTTTCTGAGTGACAATTTTATTTCAAGTTTTGAAAACAGATCTACACAAAGGCCTTCTAGAAGGAAGTTCCGTAGCATTTGCAACAAGTAAAAAGGAAACTCACTCTGCAGCATTCTTAAACTTTTGAATGCTTACTTCTCCTTCGGTAATTTCTTCAAGAAGTCTGAAGAAGTTAAAAAAAATCTTGGTAGCTTCCCAGGGAAAACCCTGGTAAATGGTAGAAGATTTTTTTTTCTGAGACGGTACCCTGTGCTAGCTTTAAATTTGGTGGAGTTTGTATTTATATTGAGCTGGTGGCCATCATAGTATATAATGCATAATTCATCCTGTTTTCCCAAAAGTTTGTTGTTAACATTCTTACGAGGAATGGGTTGAGGGTTCAAAAAGGTTATGTATAAATAGTTCAATTAAAGTCAAGAGTATGCAGCGCTTCATACTCAGAGAAGGGAATGTTATACATTTATGAAAAGAAGTTTATTGAACTTTACTTTGCTCTCTTTGCTGGCAGTTTGGTAGAAGAGTTCTTCACTGCTGCAACAACTTTGAATCGGGGGGCTGCATTAATCCATGCTGAACTCCCTGTGAAATAAGCCAGTCAGTGCCCCATCCTCTGTACCGTGTTTGAACACCAGCTTGAATGGATGGTTGCAATGAAAAGAAGCCGAATTGCTGTGTCAAAGGTCCTCAACGATAGGTTTCTTAGCTTGTCGCCTGTCTAAAGGATTTGGGGTCTTGGCACTGGTGTTACAAGAATTCGCATTGGTCTGCATACCAAGCAAATATTATGGAGGGTGAAGACAGAAAGTGCAGCAAAATTTCTTAGTGACACAGATATTATAGCCATGATGACTTACGGACCAGTAATGCACAAGAAGGGCTCTGTGACTATAAGCTTTTCTGTGTTTTCTGGCTATTCGTTCTCATAAAAGTTACTACTGTACCCGGAAACCTTGTCTGACTTAGGAGCGCAGAGATACTGGCACAAAAAGAGCTGTCCCTTCATGTGTATTTCAATATATTTGGGTTGATTATATTTGATCTTTAATTCTGGGTCTTTAATGCATCTTTTTATTTATACTATTTATTTATTTATAGATACTATTGGTATATATTTAAGTTTATCTATATTTTAAGATAGCATTCTGTGAGGGGAATTATTTTTCCTCTTAGAAGTGCCATAAATGATGCAGTCCTGGTTTTGCTTAATCTGTTCATGTATATGATTTATGTAACATTGCTATTAAATTTTTATTTGCACCTTACTGTGCAAATTGCCTCACATGCAGAAGAAGGTAATGGGGCTGTAATTTTAGTAGATCCACATGTGGGAATAGTAGGTAGTTTGCAATGCTCCCTCCCCTAATGATCTTCTAATGTAATTAACTGATACAGCAGCACGATGATACTTGGAGCAGTTTAACCCCAGTATTTCCCTCCTACTGTGGTTCCTCACGTGCTTGAAATCTGAATACCTCAAGTCCTTGAAGAAATTTGTAAAGCAACATAGTGCTTTATCACCTTGAGTGATAACATTTTACATGATTCAAGGATTTTGTCACCTGAAAAATATCTGGATTTTCCTCTCTTGTTTATTCCCATGTTCAGAATGAATCGCGAGTATTGCCAATGAATAACATATATAAAAGGAATGAAACGGCATCAGCTTTCAAGAACATTTCAGTCACCACTTTTGATTAGCCTCAACAGGGAATATTATATATGACTTGTGTGCTTTTTTAGATTGTCTGCTATGAATTGAATTGGATGTAAATTCACCTCCGTGAGCATGCACAGTTAACAATGAAGTAACAGTCCTTCCCTAGATATTATGCAATTGGATGGAATGATTTACCAATGTAATGTAGGCACCTTTGGAAATGTAAATAGTACCTTATTCTGGAAGCAATAAAGAGAAGGGAAGAAAAGATGGGGGTGGGTATTTGTAAGGCCAGGAGCCTCTCATAAGCAGACATGCTTGGCTTGTTTAGACAGCATTTATAGGTCATGCTGGTTTTCTTTCAAAAAAACAGGCTGTAGTGTATTCCATCATCTCTACTAACACACCTAAAATAAATCATTCATCGTCAAAAGCCTATGGGAATAATTGGGATTTAACAGTAATTCAAATGAGTAGGCATTGTAGGAACATCAGGCAAGTTTCCTTCTCTAGATACTCATTAGATGCCTTTTTTAAGTCCCACCAAGTTACAGACAAGAGATGATACTCCAAGCTGAATAACTGCACCATCTTCCCTTTGTGGACAAAAATACTTAGGCATACACTGGCGCATTACGAATTCAGAAGAAAGGACATACAGTACTACCTTTCACCGGTGATTCTACTTGGCTTCTTTATTCTGTAGTCATCTTCCGCTGGTGTCTTCAACTCTCATTTCTCAGAAATCTCTCTCTGCTCCTCAATCCTGCTATTTCATCAAATTGAAATAGAGAAGAAAAATACTGCTATGCAAATTTAGGCAGATGGACATTTAGCATTATCTAATGGCTGTAGTTTACTGCAACACCCTGAAGGAAACCTGTGTATGCTACAGGATGTAGACATTGGATATGATAGTGATTTCTCCAGTGTCAGAATGCTGTCTGTAAAGAAATACTCCTTTTTGGATAATGATACGTATCAGATAACCCCCAAATGGGCTGATTTTCACTTTGGGGATTAATATTACGAGAACTGCGCCTTGATGTAGTTTCCACTGAAACAATGACTGAATTCTCATTGACTTCAGTATAAAAATAGTCTGACCACAGATCCTTCGGTGCTTAGATTTACTGTTTTGGAGATATGTTTCTTATTAGAAAATGTTTGCTTTTGTTAATAATATTTATGGAGACAAAGGGACTGGGAGGGTGGTTAATAATTGGCAGAAGTTGATAGTTTTCATAATGGAACAGAAGATTCTTACATTTAGTGAGTGGGAAGAATAATGGCAAAAGGATTAGGGAGATAACACTCCAGATAAGCAGCTCTGGTAGTTGAGTGCAACTGTAGCAAATCTACTGAGCTATTCCAGTTAGCTGGGAGTCTGGCCCATACAGTCTAAAAGCATCCAGCGCCGTACCTGTTCACCTTGCCAGTTCCTGTGACTGAGCTGTAAAAGTGAAGAATTGTGGCAGCCTATAGTAAGGAGCATAAAGGAGCACCAGTATACACGCAAGCAAAGAAGAAAGCAGTAACACTGGTGCAAATGACAGATAAATGAAATCCTATCTCCATTCAGATCCGAGGGCTCGTCTATAAACCAGTATACAGTGCTTGTGAAAAAGTGGTAACAGAGAAAAGCTAAAAGCATTTCTTAAGATCCTCATTCATTCTACTCCATTGATGAGCTCCATGGAGCTAACTTGTTGAGAGAGCTCTTCCAAATGGGGATGCATTTCCCAAAGCAAATTTTATTGATGGCAATCAGTAATGATAAGTATCTCATCACTGCTTAAGAAACTTTGTTCTCTTATGCAGCATTTCTTAGTGAAACGGGCAATAGGAATTTAAAGCAAACAGACTATATCCTTATGCAATGGATATCCTCATTCAATGGATATCCTTGTGTGGAATCTTCTAAAACACAGGAGACTTAGGTGGCTTCACAACTTTGGAAATCAGATTTCCTCCAGGGTAATGGGAAAATTTTTCCAGTTTAATAGGAAAAATTCCAGCATTCCATGAGCTGTGCAACTATGGTGGAGGAACAGAAGAGAAAGCACCTCTGTAAAGTCTCCTGCTGCCTGGCTTTTCATGTTATTGTTGGCACTGCAGCAGCACTGTGCTACATGGTGGACATGGACATCTATATCCCACCATAGCATACTGTCTCTCAGGAATATCCTGACCTAAGCATAGGAAGTAATTTCACTGGCGGTCTGAAATTTCCCCAGTGACACAGTTATATTATGTCTCTGGCTTACGTTTGCATTCCAGAATGAGGAATGTTTCTTCTAAGGGACTCATGGGTGGTTTGTAGAAGCCAAAGCTATTTCAGTCTCTCCATTCCTCTTCCTTCTTAGCAGGTACTGGGGCTGGAGAAAGCAGGGACTACTATTTCAAAGTCAGCTTGTATTAGACATTAAAAAAAAGAAAGAAAAAATGGGAACGGGGCGGCAGGGGGGAAGATGTGGGAAAATCCCAACTATTGAGCCAGAGCTGGCATAAATCAGTGTAGCTGTGTTGCACACGGTAAAATTGGGGATGTTATGCTGATTTACACTAGCTGAGAATCTGGCGTCCAACTCATTTGTGAAAGAAAATGTACGATGGAATTAATAATCACCAAACTAGTTCTTTATTATATCAGCTTGGTGCTTAATGCCACTCCAGTGGAGCAACGAAAATGACACTTCCATTTTAACAGTTTATGGCTTTTTCAAGAAAAAAATATAGCAAATATGCAGCCAAAACCCATACAAAGCAGCTGAATTGCAGGGTTTCAGTCTCTTCTACTGATGCATTTCTGGAAAACAATTTTCTGTTTTACTGGTCATGGAAAATTAATCATGTTTGATGATTTGTATCCTGCTGTTGTTGTCTCCTCTTCATTTTTTGGCTCTGTATTATTTAATTTCAGTAAGTGTAATTTCTAAAGGGAACAGAATGAACTGAGGGCCTCCCACCTACATATCCAGGTCTTTTATCAGCGTTTTTTAATGACTGTTTGGTAGTCTGCTACAAGCCTTTTAAATTTACCTGCTAACTATTGTCAGTTCCCTATTCAGTTATGGATGCATGTATACATACAAATATATATGCGTGTATATACGTATATGTATATATGTATGAGAAATAGGCGCTGGTTAAGGATAAGACCAGTAGGTTTTTTTACAGAATATATGCTAACCCTTCATGTAATTTAATAGAGAATGTTTTCATGTGTGGAAGATGGAGGTGATGGGAAGTTGAGAGTTTTCTTTAAACATCTAGAATTTAGTGGAAGAGCTCCAGTTCTCTCTAGTAGCTTCTGTAGAGTGATCTAAAACCTATTAAAAGATGATTTATTCTCTTAAGGCCATAGGGATTTTCTAGGGAGGGGTTGAGCACAACTACCTGTTGATTCTTTCAGCAGCTTCCAAAATGTGATATGACTAGAAAAGCCCTTTGAATTTCTGGAAGCCCATACAGATGGAATTGCCATTCTTTGCAGCTTGTCTGGCTTTGCTTCTGCCCTAGATTCCAGATAATCTGGACAGCTATCATGATTTTCACCCCTAATTATCAGAAAGCCAGTTAGGTCTTTTCCTAATCTGTTTTATGCATTTATTCACTGTTGTCATACTGAGTGGTTCACCAACTTCAATGCAGTGGAATGAGTTAGGGAAATGCTATTATCTCCTACTTTATAAGTGAGGAACCAAGGTAATGAGAAGTAAAAGACTTAAAAATTTGTCCAGTTGGTTTCACCAAGATCATACAGGACATTGAGACAATGTTGAATGCAGGACATTGAGATCAACCCCTAAGATTGCTAACTGCAACGGAGTAGCAAAGGCAGATAATAAAAGATCTTCCATATATCATGGAGAATCCTGAACGTGGTGTCATTGGAGCACTGACTGAAATAGGAAAGACCCAAACGTGTGTGCAACTGTTTTCCAATGCCTTGTGATTGACTCTGTTGTGAAAACAAAATTCTGCATGTGGCAGTGTAATGCTCTGCTTTATCACGTGTCAGGCAGATGGAACAGGATGTTCTTTAAACTGTCTTTTGTATCAGAATTCAGGTAATAACTGAAGTTGGAAAGCAGTTGGGAGGAGGAGGGGACACGTGGAGAACATGTCCTGCTCTTGTACTCATGGTTTCTCTCTTTTCTTTTTCAGTGAGTATGTTTTTGAACACATTAACCCCCAAGTTCTATGTTGCCCTGACAGGCACTTCCTCATTAATCTCGGGACTTATTTTGGTAAGTACTAGATGTATTAATATCACCTTACAAGTTGATTTCATTATCCAGAATGGGATTTCAAGCTTCATCCACTTACATGTCTGCAGTACACGAAATTTGTATTTCTTTATTTGTACTTCTTTTTCTGTGGGAACAAAAAAAAAAAAAAAGAAAATGTTTCAGTCTTTGAAGAAAAAAAGTCTTGAAGGACAGTGTGCCCCACTAACAACCCTATAGTAATTCATAACAGGTGTTTGCACGTTGAGTGTCTCCATCAACAAGTACTACAGAAATAAAAAGGCCAGTAAAAAGAAGAGGAGGAGAGGTACCAACTATCTCAGCTTAGCATGGTCCTTTTAGAAAGTTACAGCAGGTCTTATTAGAGAAACAGCGAGCAGAATATTAGCAATGAACCCAGTTCTGTTGCCAAGACTCCAAAGGATAATTATTTCAGATCTTCACTTTTTAAAATCTTTCTCAATACGTATGTCCCTAGTCGCGTAAAGGTCTGAAGAGTATTTTTAAGCCATTTAAAACCCCCTCCTCCCATATGTAATCCCTGAGGGCTTCATTGTGCAAATTGATGCAGTGGAGTGAATCATAATACCATCACAGTGCAGGAGTCCAAAGCAGAGCATTTGCTCTGGATTTTATTCAATGTCTTCACAGAAACAAATGGAGGTAAAAAATCTAAGGATCTGCATGGTGTTCTTAGGGTATTATGCTTATACTGGGCTGCTCTGTTTCCTCACTGCTGAGAGTTGGCTTTCTACTTACACAAATAGAACAGACCAAACCAGACAGACTAGACTAGACTAGAATATTTCAGTTGGAAGGGACCTACAACGATCATCTAGTCCAACTGCCTGACCACTTCAGGGCTGACCAAAAGCTAAAGCATGTTATTAAGGGCATTGTCCAAATGCCTGGTAAAAACTGACAGGCTTGGGGCATCGACCACTTCTCTAGGAAGCCTGTTCCAGTGTTGGACCACCCTCTCGGTAAAGAAATGCTTCCTAATGTCCATTCTAAACCTCCACTGGTGCAGCTTTGAACCATTCCCACATTGGATGCCAGGCAGAAAAGATCAGCACCTCCCTCTCCACTTCCCCTCCTCAGGGAAGGGTTGTCTTTTAGTCTTGCTTGTTCAATCAGTCTTAGGTCCTTTGTCTAAAAACAAGTTGTATGCTTTTAAAATCTGCTGGATACAAGCTGCAGACCCTCCCTCACCATACCAAATTAGGCATGTAATTGGGAAATGGATGAGACCAATTTTAGGAGTGTAGTTACCATAGTGGTAAGTAGAAAGAGACAGATGTGGCTAGGGGCTGGTTCACATCACCTCGGATCTACTGACCTCAGAGAAACCTGAAAGCAGCTAGGGTCCTAACTAAACTGTATCAGTTTGGTGTGGGAAATCCACACCTTTCACTTCCACATTGCCTGTAGCTGATGTAGACAAAGAAACGGCATCCTTGACTCCTGAATGCCTGTGAGACTCTCATCACTTAGATGATTTCAGGTATAAAGCATCAGGTGCACTGCTGCTGTGCCTTGCTCTGGGGTTTCCTTGTGGCAGAAGGCAATTACTTAATGTCTGCACCTTGGGCATTCATCATCCTTGTATGGATTGGGCCCCAAAGTACAGGACAGAGCTCCAGAGACATCAGCAGATCTTTCAGAGTATGAACAGGAGCCAGGCCTGTAAGACACGGATTCAGTTCAGCACAATTCACTCAAATGCATGGGAGGAAAACACTGAATGTTACATTCAGTACTCTCACTCAGAAAGAAGAAACCTTCAAAAGGCCAGGCCCCACCACCAAGATGAGAAGGAATGAGAGAAATAACATGGGTTCCATCGGCACAGTTACATATCTGTTGTTGGAGAGTGAAGACAGCAGGAGGAGGTGGCAAGAAAAAAACAGTTTGTGCCCTATGAAAATACCTTACAGAATCAAATAGGAACAAAAACCCTAAAGAGAGACTAAATTATCTGTAACTAAATTCTGTGTATAGCACGACTGCAAATGTAGGTACATTTTGTACTGTAGTCATGAAGGCAATTTCTGAGGAATGAGCTCAGTAGGAGACTTGTGAGCAAGAAATTTCTAAATGCTGTACTTTGATGGAAAGTACCAGAAGGAAGTGGCAAGGAGTATTCAAGACTATGATGTGAAGAAGGGTGAAAAGGGTACCGACAGAAGCCTTCCAAGAAGAGATTAGACTGAGTGAGCCTTAACCGAAGAAATTCACTAAATGCTGTATGACAAAGTCCATTATGAACAAGTTGAAGGAACAGTGAGGTGACGGAGGTGTAGACACAGACTGAAAGAAGATTGAAAGCCTTTTTTGTGGACCTTCACTACTGCTATCAGTTGTTGTCTGCTGTTCATATGCCACCATCCTAAATGTGCAAAAGATAGATAGGCCAGGCAGGTAACAGCCAGGAACCCTAGATTGTAGGGACCTGTGCTGTGAGGAACATATGGTCTGTAAATTGAATGATGGAAAAGGAACTCGGCAGACACGGTCCTGGAAAGAAGAAACGGCAAGTTGAACACACCATGCATCAGGAAAGACAGCTGAGTAAGTTCTAGTGAGGTGTTGCTAGCCAGTCACTAGCCCAATTATGCTTCAGATTAATTATTTCCTAATAATCTTGCTGTTTACCAGTGGCCCTGTAACATGCTGAATTGCCTGCATTACCACTCGCTTATCTGTCATACTACACAGCATCTGCAGTTCTAAAGGATTCTTAATCCTGCTAATGGTATTAAGTGAAACTCTTTTATAAAACAAACATTCTTTTGTCAAATCTACATCGCTGGGGTATTTTTCAGACTAGATGTACTAATATTCCTTGGAATTTTCCACCATATGGTCTGGCAGATTTCTTTCCATTATCAGTTGGCTGCAATTCCTAATCAGAAGGAGAAATCACAGCACTGCAGGTTATGAAATGATGGAAAATTCCATCATTTCAGCAGTGTGGTAACCGACAGGAAAGTGAATGCTTTTCCTATTTCATGTTTGGGTCATGAAACAATGACGCTGCAGAGTTCAGCTTTGGGCAATTGCATGCTACGTGACTCCTTGGCAAAACACTACTCTCCCGTCTTATTTTGTCTTACTTAGTTTTCATTCTTTAGGTAAAAATTCTGGCCTTGCTGTAGGCAATGTGACTTAAATGAAGCAAGGATTTCAGACCTTTTTCCTTTCCTGGATAGCTCAGAACCATACAGAAAAGCCTCTTCTATCATCTCAAGCATTCTCCTTAATAATTACTTGACTACAGCACAAACTTTAAAATGAACAATTTATAGTCAATTAATCCCTGCACTATTTTAGGCATCAAAAATAGGAACCAAATTAAGTCCCAAGCTGCATTAGAAATATTGTATTGGAAACTTGGTTCCACCACAGTTACTTTTAATCCAGTAAAACACAGGGTTCTGTCTCACAGAATACAATGAGCTGTATTGTATTCACTGTCTGAGAGGCTAAGGTTTTCCACAGGTAGGGTAATAAAGCTGTCATGAAGCACAACTGACGTCTATTAAATGCTGTGAACTGGAACTATGTAAATGCCACTGAGATTTCTAAATAAGGCCACATATTTAACATACAGTTATCACCAGAGTGAAAGTTGTTTAGCAAATGTGGGTGGCATTTGCACTGCAAACTGATGGAGTCTCAGTTCCAAGAAAGCACAGGCAGAAGTGAACTGCAGTCTTGAATCTCCACCAAGAATGCCTTGTTATTCTACTTCAGAGCTTGGAACAATAATAAGAGTTTTCTGCTACGCAATGAGAAACATGCTGCAATGAACAAATACCAGGTCTTTCAGAGGTAAGAAATAGAAAGCCAGCCTACCGAAGTAGAGCATGAGTGCTGAGTCTACACACTGGCTAGCGTTGAGCAGGTGGGCTGTCTGCTACCACCCGAGTCTGTGTATAGTATGAGAGTCCCAGCCTTCTGCAGCCAATGGTTGCTAGTACGGGAAGTCTGAGAGAGGACCTGAATAACACAGAAAGGGCCCATCTTATTTTCTGTAGATACTAACTCTTCTTCTGCTTGTTTCGTTACCTTTGTGTAGTCTGCTGCAGAGGGGCAGAAAGGTGACTGAGTTCTGGGTGTTGCCACAGACTCCAGGGAAGTTTGACAATTGTGCAGGGACAATCTTTGGCAGCTGAAAAGCGATACGTGGTAATCGTTCAAAGTTTCTGCTCTGCTCAGCAGAGGCTGACAGGTCAGGGAGGGCAGAATCCTTGTAGGGAGTTCCTAAGAAACTGAAAACACTTGCCAAGGAGCAGATGAGAGAGGAAGGGTCTGTAGGAAGGCAGGCTATAACCCAGTCCGCAGGCAAGAGAAAGGTATCATAAGTAGCTGGGGCCTACCGAGTGTTGAAAGAAGTACTATACTTAGTCCAGGCAATATATTATTTTCTTTCCCATTTCTGTATTTCCAGAGGTAGATGAAGTGTAAGCACATAGCTATTTAATTTGAATAAGCTGCTTGTTAGCACTGCATGTATCTTCTCATGCTGACTCTTTGAGATAAGACAAGTGGGCGTTCGGTAACCAGGAGCAGAGTCTAAGAGGATGCTAAACAGGGGTATTTTAACCAGAAGGAATGGGGCTGCATAGCCTTCAAGACTGATACGCTGAGAGCATGGTGAGAGGCGTACTGTTTCCTAGAACCAAGCTGGGCAGGACTGGAGGATCTCCCCGAGTCACTGGCTACCCCCAACAGCTGAATAAAACAGACCAGGGGCTTGCTTTGTCTGAAGGCAAGTGGCACGGTATAGTCACATCCTCCCAAAACAGGATGATCCTTTCCATACTGCCTACTGGAAACAGCCCCTGGGCTGTGGTATCCCCAGACCATGTCCAGTCATTGCCTGGGAGAGTTTGCACAGGCCAGGCAGCGTGCTAGCGAACAAACAGCATGGATGACTGAGCCAGCCGAACCCGTGCTGTGGTCCCGTTTTATTTATCAAATAGGCTTAACCATTGAATCAAAGTTCTGCTATCATTATCCTGTTCCTCAAGAGAGTAAGTTTAATTTAAATCCATTAGATTGGTTGTTACCACCCCTCATACTGGAAGAGTACTCCAAACGTTACTCCTCTGAGACCCGGAAGCCTCATTACAAGGCTGAATGAGAACTCTGAGCTGTGGAAGTTGCCGGCAAACAAAATCCTTTACTCCAATCCTTCTGTTGAAGACTCCATACACATACACTGGGAGAGGACTACAGAGAGTGTTTGCTGTAAGAGAGGATGCCTGTCTCAGATACGATAAACAGGAAAGCATAATTCAAGTCGCTGATAGACATCACTACTTGGTCCAGTGAGAACCACCATCAAAACCATCCCTTGTGAATTGATGCATTTATGGTGGAATATCTGTTCTGAAAAACCAGGCGGGAAGATCAGATATCCCAGTGATGCAGAATAGATTTGCTGCTACACAGAGAAATAAAATGGTCCGGGATTGTCTGTATGTGAGAGCAGAGATAAGAAAGAGGATGACTGTAATGTTTTCATTGCACAGGGGAAGAGAAGTACCTGCACAGAGAAGCACAAGCAAAAACAGTCCAAAGCAAGTATCTGAAATGCATTAAGAAGACTTACGAGTGATTAAACAGCTCTTACTTAACCCAAATATATTTGTCACCTACAAGTTGTTTTTTCATAGCCATGTATTTCTAGGAATCATCAGTAAGGGTTTTCCAAAATCAAATACTCTTACATTAAGCATTACCCATACCAGATTAAAAAATAAAAATTCTAGATTTGGATTTCTAAACACACAAAGCTGGAAGTGTTCAGAACAGGGTTTTAACTTGGCCTTTGTGAACATAAGGGTTTCAAAGATCCCGTGAGGGTTTGGAGATGTTTCACCCTGTTCCAATTTGAAAGCACGGGCACCAACTAGAAAGAACCCAGAGAAGTTTGCCACTGCTGTGAAGGGGACAAGGTCTCTGACGATGAGCTTCCCTCCCACTGTGTGTGTATGACAGAAACGAGGTGGCCTTTTCTTTCAGAAGTGGTGCAGAAATGATCTTTTGCCTTAATTTCCTCTCTGATCCAGATCTCTTTCAATGTGTAATTAATCCTTACAGTCAGCTATTATTCTGTCAGATGATCTCTCATCTGCTGAACTATCAAAAGATTGTTGACTTCACATTGCTTTCAAAGTGGCTGGTGCAGTTAGAAGTCAAATTTGATTTATAGAAATCAGGTTTCAAAACAGCTGACACTGTCTGAGAAAGGTGCAAAAATTCTGCAAAGAGAATTTATTGTTTTGACTTCAGTACCGGATTACAGATTACCTTCTCATACACCCTGAACAAATCACTCCAAGCAAAGGCTTATTATGATGATGATTTATGGCTTTAATTTCTAAGAGACCGTGTGCATTGAGATCTGGCTGATGGTTCCTGGCACTGGATTCACTCAACATTGCAAATATTTTTCAAAGCTGCCTTAAACAATTTACGAGCTTTAATGCCATTTTTAAAAGTAATTAATGTATTTGTAAGTCTAGGGAGACAGACTTACAGCAAGTTCCTGTCACTCAGCTGAACTGTGGTAGTGACCACATATATACACATTCTTTCTGCTTGTACCCTCCGTTTCACTGAAATTCAGCGTGACAGTTCTCCAGCTGGTACACATTTGTGCAGGGCAAGTGGGCTCAAGCGTGCTCTTGTGCTGCTCACTCTCCTTCTCTGGGTTTTACTGACTTTTTATCTAAAAGCTGATTATGATTGAAATAAAGACCAGGAATTTATTAGCACATTTTGAAAAACCTATTTTTTTCTTCCCTTAAAGCAAATACGAAGCTTCTCTTAAAGACTGTACGAAGTACAGTGTGTAACTGCCAAGAGTTTTGAGCGGCCAGTCTGGCAGCTGTACTTCAGCCCCTAACTTAGGTTACAGTGATACTCTTACTGAGTGTCCCTTGCCTCAGTACAAGACCATAATCTTTGATTCCTAACAACCACTCCCTCTGAGGCCTTGGGCAGGTAGAATTGTGGCTTGTGTGCCTCGATTTGTTCAAGCTTCAAACTTTCCAAAGATAAAACAAAACCAGATGCCTACAGCAGATCTGTGGCTCTCTTTCACGGCACAACCTTTCTCTCATGGTTGGCCACACGCCGCCTGCTTAGGTTATGATGCTTTCTTAGATCCTAAGATTTAAATTCTAAACCCTTTAGAAAGTGTTGTGTGCCGAAGAGTGTGAGAACAGCTAAAACCAAAGCCGGCTCACCGGTGCCAGCTCCCTGTCCACCATCTCCAGCATTTGGAGGCAGCGGTGCATGCCAGGGGACGTGTATCAGTGCAGAGCAAGTTGTTCAGTGATATTTCTCAGCATTCTGTCCCTGGCTCCCGGGATTCCCACCTGGGCGCTGCTTGCAAGCACATGCCGATGGAACGAGTACCGTGACAAACGCACTGTGGAGCCTGTGTAAGGAGGAACTGTCCAGGCCGTGTGGGTTTTTGGTGATTTGCCTGGGATGTAGAGTTCACAAAGATCTGGGTGTGTTTATGTTCTGGTTTCTCTGTGACCATCCGTTTATCTTCGCAAGTGCTTGTGACCCTAATGTGTTCACACAGCCCTTCTGTCTTCTCCTCAGACTGCTCCACTCTTCCTTGTTGATGTCTCCTAGAAGAGCCATTAGATTGTTTTGGGGACCGAGTGATCTCCAGGGCTGCCACGCACTCTTGTGTGAACTTGTCTCAAGTGGCCACCAGCTACGTTCCCACTCCATTGCAGTGCAGCTAGGGTCAGCTTCCTCCACAGGAATGCTCTAGATGCTTTAACACCACAGCTGAATTTAGGGGAAGCCCCAGTGCAGAATGCATTGGAGTATCCTTTGGAAAGGAACATTTTCTTCCTGTGTCAGAAAGTTTATCTTCTGGTCTTCCCCTATGGAATGGTTTAAAGGAGGGGAAAAAAACCCCAGTATGTCTTGTCTACAAACAATCCCATGGGGACAGAAGTCAGTTCAATGATATAAAGAGCTCAAGAGAACTTAAAAATGAAAAAATATTGTGGGAGGGAGAGTGTGGAGCCCAGCCTGAACCTCTTCGCAGCAGGTAGCCTCCGAAGAGGCCTTCCAGAGCCTGCTGGCTCCTGGCAGGCCCACCAGAACCTGCCCAACAGCGTGCTGATGGTGTCAAAGATGTGAACACAGTCCTTTCACTTGTTGCTGATTGTGCCTAGCTGTAGTAAGAATTAATAAATAACATTTTTTTTTTAGAGATTTTGTAAAACCTTTCAGCACTGGCGTAAAACATGGAGACACCGACTAACATAGAAACGGCAAAGATCGTTCATTCACAATTTCTAGTGCAATCTGTATTACAAAGTACTGCCAGATTTTTCAAAACCCCTTTGATTTGCTTTTGTTTCAGTTTGTATATAGATGTTTGGGTGCTGATTCAAGTGCAACTGCAAAATACACTCATTTTACATACTCATTGTAAGTGTGTGTGCCTTTACAATTTTTACAGTCAAAACCTTTTCCCTATTTATATGAAATAGTCTTCATTTCCAGGTTTATGTGGTTTCCTGCAATATGTGTATTCTTACCCAAGAATATAATTTCTCAGTGAAAATACCACAAATATATATTTATGTATATAATTTCAATTATAAGGGGTTCTTTTAGGCTGTGGTATGATTTTCCAAGGAGAGCTCTGTAAATAATAATTTTTTCTGATATGGTAGCTGAACCAAAAGCCTGAAAATAAAACTAATTCGGAACCAGCCCAAGTCAGCCAAACAAAACACAGTTCAGTTGGGGGAAAAAATCCTAAAAGGAATAGGATTCAGCTTCCTGGAGTTTGTTTGGTATTTTTAACTTTCTAAAAATTAAATTCAGTAAATTCCTTTGGAAGCATTACTGGGAAAATGTAATGCTTTTCCTCACTTTCCCTTGACCGCAGAGGGAGCTGGGGAAAGGCGAGGCGAGTAGACTCCTGACTGCAGCATCCCATTTACGTGACTGATGTCAGACAGGATGGAGCTGGGCTCCTGTTTTTTCCAGAAGTCAATTTAAAGGAACACTCCTAGCAATTTTAAAAGCCTTTAAAAGAAATAATTTGGCCTAAGGTTCTTTGGATGAAAAAAAAAACCACCAAGACCAAACCACCAAACAAATTTTTTTGCTGACAAGATTGAGATTTTTCACCTCCTGTAAACCAGGTTTTTAAACCGATTGGCCGGATCCAGCACGAACTTGGATCAAGTTTAAACTCTCAATATGCCGCGGGGAGGCTGGCCGGCCGCTGCGGCGAGCGGGCCTCGGCGCTCCTCGGGCGGGGGAAGGCGCTGGCAGGTGCCTCCCTCAGGACGCGAGGGGAGCGAGGCGCGGATCCGCGGGGAGGGCGGGGCCCGGCCGCCCGGC